TTCATAACAAGTGCAGCCATATCTCCTTCAAAGGAAGACGTAAACAAAATGGAAAAGAAATATATAATGACACCAAGGAGACAAATCCGAACAATAATGGAAAATGCTATGTGGCCTGAATTTTGGCAGCACACCACCTTGCCTTTCTCTTGCTGGACATCCTCTAACCACGGCTCACTCACATATGGGCAGGGGAGCCACCAAACAGCAGTGGGACACAGCAGCCTGGCTTTGTGCTCAGAGAGCTAGTGGTGCTCTGAGATTAAAGCACATGTGATATCTCACTCATCTCCTCCTATGAGGACAGAGTGTAGTGGGTTTCTCGCCCCATCTGCAAACAGGAATCAGGATGCTGGCTAGTGCTGCTGCTGATCCTGCTGTGACAATGTCACATCTTCTGGAGCCTGGCCTAATTCATTTAATTTGAGCTGCCAAGTGATTCTCAGAGAGTAAGAGCTTCAAACTGCTCCTGTCTTAAACAGATTTGAAGAGATTTGCTAAAAGCAAAAGATTCTGTATCCAGGCTACTTCCTGCATACAGCCCAGAATGGCCCAACAAGGCTTTTTTTTTTAGAGAACTGAATTGCATTGCAAAGGGGGTGGTAAGGAATGAAACCCACATGGTTTGTTACTTAAAGTTTAACAAACCCAGCTTCAAACTCAGGAGCATCTGTATGAAGGGGTAACACATGAAATTAAGATACTTGCACCTGAGTTTTGCTCAGGTAAATGTTCCCACTCCTGTCTTCACAAACACTTTTATTCGGTGGGAAATTTCACTAAATCACTGTCCCTTTCCAGGAGTCCTCCCTGACTACATCTGGAATAGCAATTCAGCACTGAAAACTTGTATCTGCCAGCCTCTGCATTATTTTCTGTAATTTTACTGTGCTTTCTTGTTACTTTTGTTGGGAGTGGTTACTGTGAGCTGTTTGGTCTAAGTGCAAATCCAAGTCTGATTATCAGAACTTTGCCAAAAATATCCTTTTTTCCCCATCACCTGTAAACACCTGTGCACTGCCAATCAGTGCACATCCCCAGTGTGAGGCTTGGATTTCTGGAATATGAACAGGTAGGAATGAGTTTTGATCTGCTAGGGGCAGTGTATAATTTGAATACAACTATCTTTGCAGCTTTTCTTGTGAGTAAGTTTCCATAGGTCAAAGGAGCAGTTCCAACACCTGAGAAATCGTATGCTAAACACAAATTTCAGGAAAAAAATCAGGAATTGCTGTGGTCATAAAATTGAGGAAAGTTCAGTTTCCTCTGACCTTAAATGCAGTTTCTTTATCTTTCCTGGGAACTCCTGGTGTTTTGCTCCTTCTGATTTTTAATGGTGTGAATTGTAACATCACTTCAAGAAACAGTTCCCTAATATAAAAGAAAGAGAAGCTTTTTATTTCTAGTTTTCAGTTCACTTTATTAAAAAAGGGAGAAAACATACAAAATAGAAACTATTGAAGTTTCTTTAACATGTAATTTCTCATCTACAATGTCTATTATGAATTCTTCACCCCATTATCTCAGAATGAGTGGCCAGTGTAGGAGTTCTGGATGCTGCAAAATTGTACTTCATTGTACAGTTCACTGCGCTTCACATTTCCCTTGCATTTGTTGCCCAGTTCATATGAATGCTGACTGAAGAGCAAAATTGAATCCCTAAACAGTTCTAGCACGGCCTGTATTTTATTCTGCAGGCTTTAATGAGAGGCAGGTGAGCACCACAGCTTACAGACCTCACCCAGTGTGATTACAGTGCAGAAATATCCAGCATTGCACAGAGGGTGCTGAAAGGGGACGCTCCTCTCACAGATCAGGGATAATTTGTTGCTGTTTACACTTGGAAAACAGCCATTTCAGCTAAGAACCATAATGTTAGGGTTGGATGAAGAGGGAAGGAGCTCTTAGGAAACTATGTGAAGCTGACTTTGTTTTGGAGGCAGTGGGCATGTCTGTGGTCTGTACTGCAGCAGGACACATAAGGCAGGGAGCAGGTCTGAGCTTCCTCAAAGCACGAGAGAACAATAACAAACTTCGTCAATAGGCAGGTGTTCAATTTCCAAATGCTGGATGCTGTCTCAGACCCTAACTCTGGCAAAGGTTTCAGTTTGAATGTTTTTTGTTTTTATTTCCTAAATAATACAAACTTGAGGGAACTGGTGGTAAATTTGGATCCAATTTTTTGACATGTCTAGGAGGAGAAAGGAAATGAACATTAAACCCATCCCTCTGATATAACTTTTCTACACATCCCAAAAAACAGGAGCGATGTGGAACACTGAAATGTCTTGCCTTGACATTTTAGAAACAAAACTCTAAATTTCTTTTATGTTTGTTTTTAAAGTGCTGTTTCTTTGTAAATTGAGTACAATCTGACCTAAGAGATAAGCTAGAAAAACCAAACCATGCATTAGGATCAAAAGCTTTCACTTAATGCAAAATTATTTTTGCTTTCCCCACTCCCACTTTTTTGTTTTTAGTTTCTCTGGAAAAATGGACTTTCTTCAGGTCAACCTGCAGAGCAACATCTGCTGGCCTCTCTTCCTCCTGCTGTTTCCTATTGAACCAGCTAAGCAAAAATGAAAAATATACCCATCTGCAGCACAGAAACTTCCTTTGTGCATGCAAAGATCCCCCATCCAGGTGCAGCAGGAAGCACCACAGAAGCCCTTTCTGGCAGTGTTGGTGCACAGGTCTGGTGCAGATACCATTATTTGCAAACTGGGGGACCTGGGCTCTTCCAGGTGAGGCTTCCCCCAGAAGGGCTGTAGCAACACCTGTTCCTGCCCTGGGAACATTTCTCATGCCTGCTTTCCTCGTGGGGTCCCATGCAAGGGTGAGGTAGAACCTGTAGCTGGAAAATATCGGTGGAATTGATGTTACGACAATTACAGCAATGCCAAGGAAAGCCCACTTGAGTGGAGCAAGCTGCTTGACTGGGGGAAGGAGAGGCTTTTTGATGAGAAAAGGGTATGTTGATGGGATGTTTGGGGACATTTTCCTCCTAGCTCAGGTGCAAATCCCTGCCTGTGGCACAGATGCTTGGGATCTGTCCTGGTTTCAGCTGGGATAGAGTCAATTTTCCTCCTAGTAACAGTGCTGTGTTTCGGATTTTGTATGAGAATAATGTTGATAACATTGATGTTATAGTTGTTGCTGAGCAGTGTCAAGCAGTTTCTTATGCACAAGAAACTGGGAGGACCCATAGGTGAGACAACTGGCCTGAACTGGCCAAAGGGATGTTCCATACCCTAGAATGTTATGCTCCATATATAAATTGTGGAGAGTCAGCTGGGAGGAGCCAGGTTGCTCAGGACCAGACTAGGCACTGGTCACTGGGTGGTGAGCAATTGTATTGTGCATTTTTCCTATCATCATCGTCATTGCTGTTGTTGTAAACTTTATTTAAATTATTAAACTGGTCTTATCTCAATCCACAGGTTTTGCCTTTTTTCTGTTCTCCTCCCCCTCCCACTGGGGAGGCTGGGGAGAGGGAGTGAGCAACTGCTTGGTACTTGCTCATGGGCTGGGGCTAATCCACAACAGGTTACCTATCTCCTACCCGACAAAAACCCACACACCCACGTTTAGGAGAGCTAGGCTGAGCCAGGCATTGTGGGGAGCTTAGAGAGCTCAGTCTGAGCGCTGGGAAGCAGGCTAACATCTCTGGAGATGCCCCAGTCAACTTAAGGAGCCTGCAGGCTGAACTGGGTGACAGGCTCTGAACCGCTGCCGGTTGTTAAAGACACCAGACCTGTACAGCAGAGTGAGCTCTCTCAGCCATACCTGGGTGACCCAACAAGCTGCCTCCCCGTGCTCCGGGCCAGCACCCAAGGAGCAGAGCAATGGCTGTGATGCCCCAGCCAGCTGTCAGCTCCTGCCGAGGGACAGGAGCTGGCCGAACTGCCACGGGATACTCTGCTGACTTCCTCCTGCCCACCACGGCCCTCGATCCGCCCCGATCCTCCCCTCCAGGGCGGGAGCTCTGCCCGCGTTTTTCAGAAAGGATGATTACATCTGCAAAGCACTCGGGAGCGCTTTGGGATGAAGAGTGTTATGTAAGTGTAAGATAATGTTATTTATAGATCCAGGTTTTATCCAAAATGGAATTAAACTTGTGTTCCTGAAGCCTCTGCTATCAAAGACAAATTGGAATTTATCCCCTAGCCTCCAGTACTTTGCATTCAATTTTTTTTTTCTTAGTTTAGCCCAAAGTTTAAGAATTAGTTTTATTTACAAATCAGACCTCTCAGAAAGTAAAGGGATCTCTTCCCCATCAGCTGTGAGGTGGCTGTGGAAGCCTGGGCTATAGCTGTGCTTTGCAACCACATCAGCTGTGGCACCGAATGTCATAAAGGAGGAAAGGAAGGCAGAGTTTGAGCTGGATTAAACAACAAAACCACAAACGAATGTGCTAGGCACAATATTTTGCCTGCATTTAACACTGTCCGGGTCAATCCGTGAGCTGCAGGAAGGGTATCCAGCTTACATCACTGTTGGAGGTGGCACTTGTTCAGTGGACTAAAGTTTGTGCTCCCACAGAACTACAGACCCCGTGACCTTTTAAAGTCTTGGATTATTAACTTAGAGGGCTTTATTTACTCTTTTGAAATATTAGATTCAAATCCTTCATATTTGTACTTTTTACAAGCCATGGAAACCCATATTGCTGGGATGCCTGATGAAATCCAGGCTAACAGGTGTTAGGAATACTGTTTTATGAGGTATAGCACCTTGCATAGGTTAGTTTGTGCAGTTCGTCTGCTGCCCCTCAGTTGTCACAGTATCTAGCATGAAATTCCACACATGCCTTTTATTTAGGAAAGAACACAAAAGTATGTTATCTTATTCCTCTGGAATTTTCCACAGTTATTTAGCATGTTAGTTTAAGCATAATTGGTTAGTGGGCTCTTGAAATTTATATCTTAGCAGTACTTATTTACATCAGGCTAAAAGTGGTTCATTTCTGTTGAGGTAAATGTGAAGCATTAGATTGCAAACGTACCTAATCCATCTCTCCTCCCCCATGACTAGAAATCCTGTGGTTAAAATAACACAGCCTCTATTCAGAGCACAAACTTAGAGCTGCTAGCAGGAGCAGGCTTGGGATTTAAACAACTCTCAGCAGATGAGTCTGTTCAAGGGTCTTTTTCGGGTTTGTTTTTCACCCTACTTCTGATCCATGAAAGGAAACCAGGCTCTCTCCTCTGGGCAAGCAAGGTAAAGATTTTCTTCATTCTGTATATGGTTGCATGTGCTTGTAAAGGAGCTTATAAATGTGATTGCAAAAATGCTGTTGCAAATGCAATTGTAAAAATGTTGCTGTTATAAAGCAAGAAGTGTTTGGCAAATGGCTTCATAACCTTTAACTATTCTTTTGGTCTGGCTATTTCCACATAACAGTGAAGTGATGAAATGATAAATCTTGCACAGAGAAGCAAAGAGCAGTGATTTTTCCTCACACATTAGAGAGGCTGAGCATGTAGGCAACATAGGAAATAGCAAATCCAGGTGCTATTGCAATCAAACCAGACTAAAGCAAAACTGGCATTTTGTTAACTGCCAGGTATAGTCCCTCCTCGCTTTGTCCAGCTGCTCTAATCCCTTTTGGGAGGCTGAGGCTGTGCTGGAGGATGGCACTGAGTCTGTTTACAGAGTGTATGCTAATGCTGCTCCAGCGTGACTCGTACAGTAACAGCAGAACCGTGCTTTCAGAAATGTTTGGATGCGGTGTGCCAGATAATTAACTGCCTTTATTTGTTCTTATTGCTTTCCAAGTCATAGGGGATGTAGAAAAGCATCATCTTTTCCTTGAATCCTTATTTTATTTGAAATCCAGGAAACAAGTGTGATGTCTGTGCTAATGCCTGTGGAACTGTACTCCCAGTGCCAGAGTCTGTTAACTCTCCCAGCCCTGTGCTGTGACTCACAGGGGATCCCAAGTATCAAATCAGTCCTCCTGCACCATGGTGTTCAAACACAGCAGGTCGAGCTGCTGGGTAATATGGAAACACCATTACTCAGACTTTTGCTTGATTTAAAAAAATGCTGCCCCTCCTTGCCCCAAGGCATGGGGCAGTGTGGGCACAGTGGCAGGAGGAGAACTGAGGCACTGAACAAACACTGCTCCAGGTGCTACCTTTCCAGGGCTAGAGAAAGCCTTGTTTCCCACCCAGAGATGCTCCCTTTCCTCTTCCCCTACTTTCAGCTCCCTTTACCCTTCCTTGAGTGAGACAGGATGGTTTCACATTGTCCTGTCTGCAATCACTGTCCTCCCACCTAGCCCCTGCTGTCCCACAGCCATGTCACCCTGGCAGCAGGCACTCCACTCCTCTGCTCAGCCAGAGAAAAGAGGACTCTGCTTAGCACACCAGGTCCCTCACAGCACAGAGCTGCCACACTGAGGGGAAGCCTTCCGGCTGGCAAAGGTGCCCTCGTCCCTTGAGCCAACAGTGCTGCTTTGTCCTGAAGGGAGAAATGCAGCTTTATCACTTGGGTGCCCGGCACAGGGAGGGACAAGCAGGGCTATAAGGAATACAAACACTCTGCTTTTCCCAACACTCATGTAAGAGCACGCTGTGGCAGAGAGGCAGCTCGGAGGAGAGAGAATATGTGCAGAACAAAGAAATGTGGTCAGGCAGGAACTATAAAATTCCAACATAGAAAGTGGAGCTGATGTCATTTTAACGTCCCAAGCAGTGCCAAGAATTCTAAACTCCATATCAAGATTCAGTGCAAAACCCCTACAAACTCACAACTTGTTCTTGTGGAAAAACTAACTTTTATGGAAAATATGCATGGGAACATGCCAGAGGAGTGTGTTGCTTTATTTCTTTTATTAATTTTGAATACATTAGTTCAGAGAGCAATCTCATTTTAGCATCAGCTGCCTCTATCCAAGAAGCTGAAGCTGACATATCCTGCTCGCAAATACTGGAGGCGAGGGAACTGTGGTTTTTCGAAGGATCGGTTGTTAGTTGGGAAGAGCTGCTTGAGTAGGAAGGGGTGTGGGAAGACTCAGTGGGATGACTGAGTTAACAGTTTTTTACTGGTGACATATCTGAATCGTGATCAGATGCACCTGAATGGAACAGCATCATCAGCTATTATAACTCCGAATGCGTCAGCAGTGGGATCGCACGCGGCTCCTGTGATAAAGGTTACTCACATCTGTCCTGCTATAAGACCGCCTTTGCTGCTGCTTATAACTTTGTCAGACTTGAACAGTTTAGGCTGAGTTCTTCCAACTTGATTGTCTGCCTTGGGCTAAGTTCTTTTCTGGAAAATTTCAGCCAAAACTGTCCAGCCAATTTTGTCCATTCCAAGAATGAGCACAGGGAAAAAGGAATTGTCCAACTTGAAAAAAATGAAAGGAAGAAACGGGAGGGGGGAACTTGGTGATTCTTTCCTTGGATAGTTTTTATTCCTCTGTGCTTCGGAGCTAAGATCTGAAATTTGGCAGCTCTGTCTTAGGAATGTGATTTTTTTTTTAACTTTGCAAATCTCCTCCAATTTGGCTTAGTGATAGCCTTTGAAGGGAAAAAATAGCAACTTATTAGGGACGTGCTAGGGCTGAGTAGTCAAAATCCACTGAGATTCCTTCTCACATGAGCAAGCTCAGCCCAGTGCTGACCCCAGTGCTCCTGTGCAAGCAGTCAGTGCTACCAAGTTTCTGCTGATCCTGCTGCTTCCCCACAGATCTGCAGGGATCAGGCTACCTGTGTCCCCTCTCTGCAGTCTGAGAACTATCCCCAGCTCTAGAAGCAGGATGAAGATGGGCTGTCCATGTAATGCTACTCAGGGCACAGGTGTTGGTCAATGCAAAGGCAGGCAGGGAACAATACACTCTGATTCTTTCCTGGCACAGCCAGGAGGCAGACAGGGACTCTGGGGACACTGAGCTAAGCAAACATCTGGTACTGGGTTGCTAAAGCTGAAGGATTGCATGGGACCAGGATGGGGTCACATGGGACTGGGATGGTACTTCACATAGTACAAGTGAGGAGTCAGGGGACTTGGGAGCAGGGCAGGAAGGTGTGTTGTCAAGATGTGAGCCATAGGGAGAGTCTGGACACTGCCAGAGCTCAACATGAAACCTGAGCTGCTCTATCCATGGTCCCTTTTTCGGACTATGAGTGTTACCTCTCAGAATTGGCTTCAGTCCTGCTCTCCCTGCAGGGTCCTCTGTGCCAGGTCTTGCTGAGGCTTTCCCCAGTCTGCAGTCAGTAGCTACACGGTGTGCCCACGCATCTGCAAGTGCCGTAAGACCCTGCTACCAAATGTCCACGTCCATGATTGGAGCTGATGGAAGCTCTGCCTCGAGCAAGTTCAGTGTGCCTGATGCTGAACACTTTTGCACAGCCCCAGCCCCAGCTATGTCTGTTGGTCATCCCTCGGTCTCAGCTCATGACCTTGAAGCACTGGCCTGTAGGACCCATGAAGCCTGCAAGGGTGGATGCGGGCATGGGTCTTGCTGCAGGGAAGGCCCAGCACTGTGGTGGGGGACAGCTGGGATGAGTGAGCAAGGCAGAGCCCTGATAGACTGATGCTTGGTGCAACCAAGATATTTGCTTACATGCCTGTCTCTGTTTCCATTTTGTTCAAGCGGCTAAAGAACCACCACACCCTTAATGGAGGTACCAGAGCATCCAGATATTATAGAGAGATGTGTCATTGTAATTCAAAAATGTTGGGAAAATCAGTAATTCTTACTAAGAGGAGGACTTGGGAAGAAAATAAAGCCTAGGACCACACTGAACTCTAAGGAAAAAAAAAATAATTCTAAATAACATTGCCAGTGAAGACAGTCCATGCTGTACCATGGGATAAAGTTGAGACCTCTGACAAAACACTCTGTGATCATGTAATAAGCGTATCATAACAGATACCACAAAGGAGGCCTAATTCTGGCATCTCTTCCCTCATGGATTTTTCAGTCATAACTGTACTCTCATAGCCTATTTTTATATGCAATGCATATGCAACATTTGGGGACAGATGGTGAAATCTCAGTGTTCATTGTGCCTCTTGACGTGATTTCCACATCGGAAGGTAGGGATCTGCAGTCTGCTTGTTTCCGCTGCTGCTGAAGTGTCAAAGAAAGGTGATTTCCTTCACTTCTTGTATGACTATAGACTGTGGAGCATCCTGAACAGCCTCTCCTTCCACAGAGACAGGCAGTTAAGTTTCATTATCCTGGAGCCCCATGCACACACCAGGACTCAGCTCTGCAAGACTGTGTAAGAACAAAGACCAGAAGAACAGGAGCTGACAATGTGAGAAGACCAGAGCTGCCTACAGACAGCTACTGGGAGAGGAAGGAGTTCTAAAAAGCTGTGAGACAGTGCTGGCCAGCATGTTAGGCAGTACTTGCTTCACACCAGCAGCCTTGCCTTTGTCAAGGATGTCACAAACAGGAGTTTTAAGCAGGGATTTGCAGGAGAACTGAAACAGAAAATGAAAAGGAGTGGTGGATTCTTATGGGCTTCTACTCCAAGTGTATGGTCCTACTTCACACAGGGCATCTGCCATATCTTCAGATGCATCCACAAAATACACATCACCTGGGTTGCATGACCTTTACAGAATCCTTCAATTTCAGGGACACTTTGGAAAATGTGATTTTTTTGGTGCTCTGTTGTTTTTCAACTCAAATGCAGAAGGGGATTGAATATGCAATCATATCAGGGAAGAAAAACTCACTTCTGATAAGGCAAAGGCCTTACCTTTTTCACAAAAGAAAAAAAGGCTAGCACAGGGTGAGGAGGATGAACATTTCAGCCTTTTACACTGCTGAAAACTATTTGGGAAACCCCTCAGGTTTGCCACACTGACACAAGTGTTGTGAATTGCCCTAAGTCCCTTTTAATCAATTCATTTATAACACTGTTGTGAATCCCATCATCCAAGTCTATGTAAGAGACTTATGACATACAGTGATTCCTAATAACCTCAAGCTCACTGAGGGTTTTTAGCTGCTTGGGGCCTTTGAGCATGCTTTCACTTTTGTTTAGATGTCTTGCCCCTCAGCAGTGAATTTCTTTCGTTTTCTCTTCTGCTACTACCGGATGGCTGTTCACACCCTTGGCATTGTCTACCTGAAGGGCAAGAAGCACCTCCTTGTATCCCACCTCTGACAGTGCATGGTGCTAAGCTTTGGCTGTACCAAACTCATGGCACAAGGTGACTCCAAGTCTGTAGCCACCACACACAATAAACTC